CATCATTTAGCAGATCAATCGAAAGGCTACAGTGCTCTGTTGACGCATGTTCCAGGAGACGTACTGCAAATTGGAGATATCTCTTGCCATAAGCGTCCCATTCATTGACCACCCTATACATGCTTTGGAGTTTAAGACATCACTGGGCATATTAATCCAAAGGCTGGAACGATCTGTTGGTTGATGTGGCAACTACAGTACTGGCAACTGTAAATGCACCAGGCCATAATATATTTACAAACTGATAAGTCTAGAACTGCTGTGGAATATAAATCATCAGTGTACATATTAATCCGATGGCTGCCGTGCATTGATGATGGCTGTACTCTGAACTCTCATGTCAAATGTTAATATTTCAAGCAATGACGCATCTGCCTTTTGCCATTCTAGAATTGCAATTGTACATATGTCATGAGTGAGCAACTCATTGCAACGGGTAGTGTGCAGCGTTGGCGGATGCCTGAACTACCGTGCAGGGTATTTTAAATATTTCTAGCCATAACTGATGTATATATTGTTTATCCCAGAAATACTGTTGAATTAAAGACATCAGTGATCAAATTAATGCATAGGCAGCAGTGCAGTGACGAAGACTGTACACAGTACTGTGTTGTCAGTTGTTAATGCATCGAGAGGTAATGGACCTGTCTCTTGTCACTCTAGAATTGCTATAGAGTATAAGTCATCATTGAATGTATCATTCCAGAGGCTACAGTGCGCTGCTGATGGACGTACTGTGTTCCGTACAGCCAATTTTAAATATCTCTCGTCGTAACCGCAAGATACAATGATTATTCTAGAATTGCTGTTTAATTTGGATATCAGTGAGAAAATTAATCCAGCGGTTACAGTACAGTGTCCATGGCTGCACTCGGTACGGTTTCGATACTTGTTAATTGCTTGAGAGATAATTTGAAGGTCCATCTCTCTGCCAGAATTGCAATTGAACTTAAATCATCGCTGAAGAGATTACTCCTACGGCTATAGTGCTCTAGTGGTGAATGTACTAAGAACCGTACTTTCATCTTGTAATATCTCTAGCCATAACTGATATATGCATTGATTATTCTATGAACTACTGTGGAATATATATCATCATTGGACAGACTAATCTAATGGCTGCTGTGCCCTCTTGGCTGATGTAACAGATGCCATACTGGGTATTGTAAATATCTCTATACAAAACTGTTGTATACATTGGTTATTCTACAACTTCTGCTGAATTCAAATCACCAGTGAACATATTAATCCAACGGCTGCAGCATAGTTATGATGGCTGTACTCAGTCCTGTCTCGTCAATTGCTATTTTCTCAAGCGTTAAAGTTTCCGTCCATTTTCACTCATTAACTGCAATAGAATATATAACATCGATGAACAGATTAATCCATTGACTGCAGTACTTCATTGGTGGATGCAACATCTACCGTTCTGCGGTATGTAATATCTCTATGCATAACTGGTGTATACATTGATTACTCTAACGAACTGCTGTGGAATTTGTGTCATCGGCGAACAGATTAATCCATTGGTTACAGTGCTCTTCTTCTTGATACACCAACTACCGCAAAGGGAATTGTAAATAACCCTACCTATGCCTGATGTACACATTGATTATTATAGAACTAACGAGGAACATATATAATCACTGAACAGATTAATCCAGCGGTTGCGGTACTGTAATGATGGCTGTACTCAGTGCTGTTATGTCAAACGTCAATGTCTCGAGGGATAATGGGCCATCCCTTTGTGATTCTAGAATTGCAATATAATATATGCCTTCAATGAACTGCTTAATCCAACGGCTACATTGCCCTACAGGTACATGTTCCAACTATGCTACTGGGAACGGGAAATGTCTCCAGCTATAATTGACGTATGCATGGATTATTCTAGAATGCATAGTATGCATTGATTATTGTAGCAATCCTGTAGATTCTATGTTTTCACTGAAAAGATCAATCCAGCGGCTTCAGTACTACGATAATGGCTGTATTCGATACTGTCATGTCAATTGTTAATATCTCGAAACATAACGGATCTGTCTGAAGTAAATGTATAACTGCTATAGGACATGCATTATCATTGTAGAGGTTAATCCTCCGGCTACATCTCTCCGTTGTAGGATGTACTACGTTCCGCTCTGTCAATTGTAAATATCTGTTGCCATAGGCGTACTAAGCATTGATTATACTAGAATTGCAGTTGAACTTATATTATATGTGAGGAAATTATCTCAACGTGCAAAGCAATATAATGATTTATGTACACAGTACTCTTTCGTCAATTGCTAGTGCCTCGAGCGATAATGGGGCAGTCCGTGTCATCATGGAATTGCAAGTGGATCTAGATCATGACTGAGCAGCTTAAACCAACGGCACCATTGCTCCATTGGTGGATGCCCTAAATACCGTACTGAGAATATTTAATATCTCCATCCATGACAGACGTACACATTGATTATTCTAGAACTACTGCGGAGAAAAGTCACCAGCGTACAGACTTATCCACCTGCTGCAGTGCTGTGACGGCGGCTGTACGCAGAACACTTATGTTAATCATTAGTACCTCGAGCGATAACGGATCTGTCTTATGTCATAGTATAATTGCTCTAGAATATACATTATCTTTGAACAGGTTAATACAACGGCTACAGTACTCCGTTGTCGGAAATACTAAGTTCCGTTCTGTCAATTGTAAATTTTTGTAGCCATAAGAGTAATAAGCATTGATTATACTGATTAGGTTATGAATACATTATATGAATAGGTTAAACTGTCGGCTATTGTCCTCTGTTGATGGATGAAATAAGTACCGCACTGTAAGTTGTAGATATCTACAACCATAATGGCACTATATGTTGATTATTCAACATTTGCTATTAAATTTTTGTCATTGATCAAACTAGTTAAACGGCTAAAGGACTGTCATGATGACTGCACTCAGCACTCTTTCGTCAATTGTTAATGCCTCGAGCGACAATGGGCCGGTCCTTCATCATTCTAGATTTCCAATAGAATTTAAATCGACACTGAACAGCTTAATCCCGCGGATACATTGCTATATTTGTGGATGCACCAACTACTGTACTTGAAGCAGTAAATATCTCTCGCTGTAACTGATGTATTCACTGTTAATTCTAGAACTCCAGCGGAATTGAAGTCATCACTGCACAGAGCAATCCAACTTCTACTGTGCCATATTTGTTAATGCACTGAAAACCGTACTGTCAATTGTAGATATCTCTAGACTAGTTATTGATTATCCTAGATTTGATGTTGCACTTAAGTTACCTGTGAACAAATTTGTCCAACGGCTAAAGTAATGTGATAATGGCTGTACTCTGTACTGTTTCGTCATTTGTTAATTTCTCGAGCGATAATTGTGCAGTCCATTTCCAATCTAGAGTAGCGAAGCTAATTGAACCATCACTGAACAGCTAAATCCAGCGCCAAAATTGCTTCATTGGTGGACGTCCCAACTACAGTACTGGGTAACGTTATAATCTGTAGCAATAACAGATGTATAAATTGACTACTCTAGAACTCCTGTGGAACTTATGTCATCGCTGAACAGATTAATCCAATGGCTGCAGTGCTCCAGCAGTGGACGTACGTTCTTCCGGGAATGGTAAATACCTCTGCCCATAATTGATGTATACATAGATAAATCTAGAGCAACTGTGGAATTTAAATCATCAGTGCACTGATTTATCTAGCAGCTGCAGTGCTGTGACTATGGCTGTACTGAGTACTGTTATGTCAATTGTTAATAACTTGAACTACAGCAGATCTCTCTTTTGTCACCATAGAGTTGTTATAGAAACTACATCTTCATTTAACGGTATAATTCAACCGCTACAATGATCCGTTGATGAATGTACTAAATACCGTACTGTCAATTGTAAATATCTGTAGCCATAACAGTACCAAGCTTTGTTTATTCTGGAGTTGCAGTTAAAATATAATTATAAGCGTGCAAATAAGTACAACGGCCAATTTACTGTTATTGTCGCGTTACTCAGTACTGATCCGTCGATTGTTAATATCTAGAGCGATAATGGACCAGCCCTTTGTCGTTATAGAGATGCATGAGTATTTATATCACCACTGAGCAGCTTAATCCAACGGGTACATAGCTCCATAAATGGATGTCACAAATACCGTACTGGGAATTGTATATATGTCTAGCCATAGCTGTTGAATACATTGATTACACTAGAATTACTGTGGAAATTAAGTCATGAGTGACCAAATTAATGCAACGGCTAAAGAAATTTCATTATGTCTGTACTCAGGCCTGTTACGTCGATTTTCAATAATTCGAGATATAACGGAAGTGTCGTTTGTCATTCTAGAACTGCTAAACAGCCTGCATCATCACTGAAGGGGCTAAACAAACGGTTCTTGGAAATGGCTATGTAACGAACAGTCAATTGCAAATGTCTCTAGCCATAACGCTACCAAGCGTTGACCATTCTAGAACTGCTGTGGAACGAACATCGTCAATGCACATCTTAATCCAACGGCTACAGTGCTTTGTGTGTGGGTGCAGCAGCTACCGCACTGTGAATTGTCAATGTCTCCAGCCATAACAGATGCGTACATTGATTATACTAGAAGATCTGTGGAATTTATGTCATCAGTGAACAAATTAATCCAACGGCTAATGTACTGTGAAGATGGCTGGACTTAGGGCTGTGTTGTCGGTTTTTAATATCCCGAGGTATAACGTGTATGTCTTTGTTATTCTAGAATTGCTATGGAACCTCAATCATCATTTCGCAGACTAGTGCAACGGGTGCAGCGCCCTGTTGATGGACGTACAAAGAACCGTACTGTCTACTGTGAATAACACTAGCCATAATCGTACTATATATTGACTTCCCAGATTTGCTATATAATTTAAATTATCACAGAACTGGTTAATCCAACGGCTACGGTGATGGTCTCTGTACTCTGCACAATTCTGTCTACAGTTAATATCACGAGCTTTAACGGAAATGACCCTTGTCACTGCAGAATCGCTACAGAATCTACATTGTTATTGGACTGGCGAATCCAACTGCTACAGTGCAACGTTGATGGGTGTATTGCGTACCGTAATGTGAATTGTAAATGTCAACATGCATACGTGTGCCATACAATGATTATCCCAGAGTTGTTAAAATTTAGTTATCCTTGAACAAGTTGGTGAATCTGCCAGAGATGTATGATGATGGGTGTACTGAGTGCTGTTTCATCAGTTGTAAGGGCCTCGTGCGATATTGGGTAAGTCCTTCGTCATTCCAGGATTGTAATACTATTTAAATCATCACTGAAAAGATAAATGAAACGGCTGCATCTGTATTTTGATTAATGTACCAATTACCGTACCAGGGAGTGACAATATCTATTGCCGTAAATGATGTTTGCTTTGAATGCTCTAGAACTAGTGTGGAATTTAAGTCATCACTGGACTGGTTAAGCAAATGCTACGGTGTTGTATTGGTGGATGCACCTACTACCGCACAGGGAATTGTAAATATCTGTATACATAACTATTGTATACGTTGATTATTCTTGAACTACAGTTAAATTTACGTCATTCGTGAGCAAGTTAATGCAAAGGCTACAGTATTGTGGTGACGGCAGTACTTATTACTGTGTTGTCAGTTGTTAATATCTCGAGCCGAAACGTATCCGTCTTTTGTCATTCTATAATTGCAATATAATCTACATCATCAGTGGACAGATTTATCCAACGGCTGCAAATCTCCTATGGTGGCAGTCCTCGGTACTGCTATGACAGTTGCTAATATGTCGAGCTATAACGCATATGCCTTTTGTCATTCTAGAATAGCTATGGAACGTATACCGTCACAGAAGAGGTCAATCCAACGGCGAAAATTCTCTGTTGTAGGATGTACTAATTACCGAACTGACGATTGTAAATAACTGTAACTATAACCGTAATGTGCAATGTCCATCACAGACTAGCTTTGCAATGTAAATCTTCTCTGAACAGATTAATCCAACGACTACGGTGCCCTATTGATGGATACACCAACTACCGTAGTGGCAATTTTAAGTATTTCTGCCCATTACAGATACATACATTGATTGCTCTAGAACTGCAGTACATACTATATAACATCATTGAACAGATCAATCAAACGGCTGCAGTATACTATTGGTGGCTGTACTGAGGACCGTACAGTCAATTAGAAATATCTCTAGCCACAACCGTAACGTACATTGATTACCTAAGAATTTCTGTCGAACATAAATCATAAGTGAACAGGTTGTTCAAAAGCAAACATTGTGGCGATGATGTCTGCACTCAGGGCTGCTTCGCCAGTTATTAATTTCTCGAGGGCTAATGGGTCAGTATCTGGTCTTTCCAGAATTGCAATAGAATTTAGGTCATCACTGTAGAGCTTAATCCAACGGCTACTGTGATCCAATGGTGGATGCACCAACTACCATTTTGGGGATTTTAGATACTTCTCTCCATAACCGTTGTATACCTTGATCTTTCTAGAAATACTGTTCAATTTAAATCATCAGTGAACATATAAATCCAGTGACAGCAGTAATGTGATTACTCCTGTAATCAGTACAGTTGTGTCAACTCTGAATATCTTCAGCTATAACGGATCTGTCTTTTGTCATTCTGATACCGCTATAGAATCTACATCATCATTGAACAGACGCATTCAGCGAATGCAGTGCTCCGTTGATGGATGTTATAAATACCGTACTGCCAATTGTAAATATCTGTAGCGATAATCGTATTATACATTGATTGTCCTAGAATTGCGGTTGAACATAAATTTTAAGTGGAATATTTATTCCAACGCCTAAATTACAGCGATGACGTCTGTACTCAGTGCTGTTTCGTCAATTAAATTTTTTCTCGAGGTTTAAAAGGACAGACCATTGACTTTCCAGAATTGCAGTAGAATTCATATCATCACTGAACAGCTTAATCCAACGGCTACGTTGCTCTACTGGTGGATGCACCAACTGCTGTAATAGAAATGGTAAACATCTCTTGCCACAACTAATGTATGCATTGATTATTCTAGAAGAACTGTGTAATTATAATCACAAATGAACAGATTAATCTAACGGCTACTATGCTCTGCTGGTGGATACTGCCACTACTGCGCTGGGCGTTGTAAATATCTCCAAGCATTACTGACGTGTAAATTGATTACTCTACAACTTCTGTGGAAATTAAGTCGCCACTGGGGAGACCAATCCAACGTACACAAAACCTTAGGCGTTGGATTATTTCACTGGTCACTTGAATTTAACAGTAATTCCAGAATACTGAATGTATAGTACGGTCATTGCTAATGATATTTGCAATTGGCAGTACGGTTCTCCGTACATCCATTGACAGACCAATGTAGCCGCAGAAAGAGCCTGTTTAATAATGATGTAGAATCCATTGCAACTCTAGAGTGACAAAAGACAGATCCGTTACAGGTCGAGATAATATCAACTTCCATAACGGCCTTGAGCAGGGCCATCATCGCAGCACTGTTCTCTGGCGATACAAATACTGTCTCAATTCTAGCATGGCAAAGGAATAACACATTATCGTTCGAGACATTATCTATTTACGAAGCAGTACTGAATACAGCCATCATCACATTACTTCAGACATTGTGTTAACCGGTTCACTGATGATTTATGTTCCATCAATGTGTGCACCAGTTGTAGACAGAGATATTTACAGTTCCCAGTGTGGTACCTAGTAGATCCATCAGCAGAGCAGAGCATCCGTTGTATTAACATGTACAGCGGTCATTTATATCTTATAACAATTAACTACTAACAAAACTGTTCTCGGTACAGGCATAGTCACAGTATTGTAGCCGTTGGGATAATTTGTACATAGATGATGTACGTTCCAAAGGAAGTCTAAAGCAATCAAAGTATAGTACGGTTATGGCTACATATGTTTACGGATAACAGTAGGTCTCCTAGTACATCCATCAACAGAGCACTGCAGTCGAGGGTTTAATCAGTTCAGTGTTGAATTCAATTCCAAGGCAAGCATGGGATGTTCAATGTATAGTTCAGTAACATCTGGAGTAATTTACAACTGACAGCACGGTTCCGTGCACGTCCATTAACAGGAAAATGTAACCGTTGGATTGCCATGCGCAATGATGACTTAGATACTATATGAATTCTAGAGTGACAAACGCAGCACCAATATCGCTCGAGATATTAACAACTGGCAACACAGTGCTAAGCAGAGGCATCATCACCGTAATGTAGTCGCTGTATTAAGTTGTTAACAGTAGACATAAGTTCCACCGTTGTTCTAGGATAATCAATGCATACGTCAGTTATGGCTAGGGGTATTTACATTTCTCAGCACGGTAGCTGTTACAATTCACCAATAGACCACTGCAGTCGATGGATTGATGTGTTCAATGATAGCCTGGAACCCACAGTACCTCTAGAATGACCAATGTATACTTCAGCTGCGGATAGAGGTATCCACATTTCACAACGGTAGTTGGTGCAACCACCAGTAGAGCACTGCAGCCGTTGGGCTAATCTGTTTAGTCATGACATAAATCATATAGCAATTCTAGAATGACCAATGACTGACCCATTGTCGCCCGAGGCATTAACAATTGACGAGGCAGTACTGACTACAGCCATTATCACAGTACCTTATCCTATGGGCTGTCTTGATCACTGATCACTTTCTTTCCACGGTAGTTCTAGACTAATCAATGTATACGTCAGTTGTAGTTGCAGACATTTACAATTCCCAGGACGGAAGTTGGTGTATACACCAGGAAAGCAATGTATACGTTGTATTAACATTATCACTTATTATTTAAACTCCTCAGCATCTCCAGATAGTCCACCTATGTGTCAGCTATTTCTAGATATGTTTAAAATTCCGAGGTCGTAGCTGGTGTATCCACAGGTAGATTACTGCGACAGTTATATTGTTCTGTTCAGTAATGATTTAAATTCGACAGTAGGTCTAGTATAGTCATCGTATACACCAGATATGTCCAAAGACATTTACAATTCCCAGTAAACTATTGGTACAATCCATCAATGGAGTACTGTTGCCATTTGATTAATCTGTACAGTGATGATTTACATTGCATTGCAAATCTAGAAATACGTTGGACTGACCCACTATCGCACGAGATGTTAGAAATTGAAGAAACAGTAGCGAGCTCTGCCATCGTCACGATACTGCAGCCGCTGGATTGATCTGCTCAGTGATGACTTAAATTCCGCAGTATTTAATATAATCTATGTACACATCAGTCGTGCAAAGAGATACTTACTATTCCCAGTACAGTAGTTGGTACATCCTCCAATGGAGCAATGTAGCCGTGGAATTAAGCTGTTCAGTGGTGACATAATTCTTATTGCCTCCACAGAATGACGATGTTCTAGCCCATTATCGCTCGACACATTAACAATTGGCGAAAGAGTACTGAGTACAACCGTCAACACAGTGCTTTTGTGGTTGGACTAATATGACCACCTATAATATACGTTTAATGGCAAATCTAGGATAATCAAGGTATTGTATGAATATGGCTACAGGTATTTAAAATTAACGGAACGGTACGTAGTCAGTCCATTAATGGAGAACTGCAGCCGCAATGTTAATCTGTTCAATGATGATTTACATTGTATAGGAATGCTAGGATGGCAAAACATTGATTCGCTATAGGTCGAGATATTAATACTTGACATAGGAGTACTGTGTGCAGCCATCATAACAGTATTGCAGGCTTTGGATTATTGTATTCACTAACAGAGTAAATTCCACATCATTTCTAGAATGTCCAATGTCTACGTCAGTTCTGTACACAAATATTTAAAACTCCGAAGACGGCAGTTGGTAATAGAGCACAGCTGCTCCTCTAATAGAGCACAGCTGAAGTTGGATTAATCTGTTCAGTCATGGCTTAAATTCCACAGCAGTTCTAGTATAATCAATGTATACATGTGTCATTGCTGGAGATATCTACAGTTTCCGGTATGGTACTAGGTACGTCCACAAATAGAGCACAGCAGCAGTCGGATTGAGCTGCTCAGAGATGTTATAAATAGTATTGCAGTTCTAGAATGACAAGGACTAGCCCATTATCCCCGGAGAGATTAGGTATTCGCGAAACGGTGCTGAGTACAGCCGTATTCACAGAAATGCTGCCACGGAGGTTATCAGTTCACCAATGGTGTAAATTCCACTGTAGTTCTTGAATACTCGTGGTATACAATAAATATGTATAGAGATACTCAGATTTCCCAGAAAAGTAGTTGGTACGTCCACCAGTAGGGCAGTGCAACACTTGGATTAATCTGTTCGGCGATGACAAAAATTCCACAGGCGTTCTAGAATCGGCAATGCGTGCATCAGTTTCGGCTAGAGGTATTTACAATTCCGAGTGCGGTAGTTGGTGTTTCCACCAATAAAGCACTGTAACCTTTGGATTAATCTGTTCAGTGATGATTTAAGTTACAAAGCATTTCTGGAATGATCAAAGTACACATCAGCTGTGGCCAGAGATATGAACAATTCCCATTAGTGTCGCTGGTGCATCCACCAATAGAGCACTGACAGAACTTGGATTGATCTGTTCAATGGTCGTATATATTCATCAGTTGTTGTAGAATCACCAATGTATACATCAGTTACGTCTAGACATTATTACAATACCCAGTGCAGTAGATGGTAAATCCACAAATAGAGCAATATAGCGGTTGGATTAAGCGGTTCATTGGAGATTTATGTTCAATCGCATTTCTAGAATGACAAAAGAAGTAACAATTACCGCTCGAGATATTAGGATCAGACAACGCAGTGCTATGTACAGGCATCATCACTGAACTGTAGAGGTTGCGTTAGTTTGTCCTCTAATAACATAAATTTCGCAGTATTTCAAGAGTAATCAATGCACGCATCAGGTACGTCCAAGGATAATCACAATTGCCTGTGCGGCAGTTGTTTCGTGCTCCAGTAGATCACTGGATCTATGGCTGGAGATACTTACCATTTTCAGTACTGTAACTGTGTCATCCACCAGTAGATCACGGTAGACGTTGGATTAAGCGTTTCAGTCACGATTTAAATTCTATTGCAGATCTAGTAAGACAAAGGACTGGCACATTAACGCTCGAGACATTAACAATTAGCGAAGCACTTCTGAGCACCGCCATCATTACTCTACTGTAGCCGCTGGATTAACTTGTTCACTTGCGATGTAAATTCCAGAGCAAGTTTAAAGCAGCCAATGTCGTGGCAGTGGTTACAATGGAGCAAGTACGCGCGGATTTCTAATGTGTAATGAATTCTGATTGTTATTGTGGTGGTCGGTGTCATAGTGTAATTGGCATAAATGAAAACGATGTTTGTGTTTAAGATTATATGTGTGTGACGAGTATGATTACGAGTCGTGAAAAACGGTTACTCTTTGGCGGACAGCCATCAGAAGAACATATTATGTGAAAGAGAGTCGTGTATAGATTATATCGTGAGGAGGAGCGATTCTACTTCTACGAATTCGAATATAATTTGGGTAATGTTATTAAACCTATTTGTGTAATGTTATTAAACGTTTAAATTAGTACAGTTATTACTTCATCCACCAATAACAATAGGGAGCAGAGAGTGGTCATAATTAATAACATAATAAAACAACATACTAGAATATTCGAAAGTAGCTGAGGCGTTGAATATCGATAACGTTGGACCGATGATTCATACTATTTCATATGGAAACAGAAAGATGTACTACCTCGGCGATCAAAACGATTATGGAAAAAAGATATTGGGGCAAAGCCGTCGACAAAATTACGTATTAATTAGTGACAATTTTGTTCAAGAAGAACGAAAAGTTAATATGGCATGCAACGAAGCAAATGTAATAACCACAAAGTGAATCTGAAAATTCACGGTCCAGCAAGCTTCTCGCAATAATAATATGAAATTAAATAATGTATTGCACGTGCCAGAATTGAATTCCAATTTCCTTTCAGTAGCGACCATAACTGACCATGGCTACGATGTATATTTCAATAGACATGGAGCAACAGTATACAACAAATTGGGTGGAATTCAAATGACCGCGGTAAGTGAACAAAACTCGTGTTATTTGAGGATATCTATAAACCTTGAGAGGACATCGGCTGTATCAACTGTAAGCGTTGTACGGTTCAAACGTCTAGGACATGCAAATGAAGAATTCGAAGAAGAAATTAAGAGAAAGTATCTGTCATTGTGGATGGGTGGTTCATGGAAAGAGGTGTGTGAAACGTATGTACAAGGAAAAGAATGTAAGGAGCCTCATCCGCGACATAATGCTATATGGACAAAACGTGCATTAGAACTACAGCATACGCATTTGATAGGCCCAATCAAACCCTCGATTTATGGAAAGGTAAGCTACATATTAATTATCGTCCGTGATTATTCGAGAATATGGTTATACAACTTCTGAGGGACAAAAGTGAAGCTGCTGAAGAATTAAAGGGTATAATAGAATTAAGGGAGAATCAAACGGAACTACGATTGAGGAGGATTAGGCCAGACAAGCGTGGGGAATATTTAGGCAAAAAGTGAAGGAGCTGGTTTGATTCAAAAGGAATTTTTCACCAATTGAGGCCTCGCACTACAACTGAATGCAACGGAATTACAGAAAGAGCGAACAGGACGTTCGTCGAAACAACCTGGACGATGTTGGTAGATTCAAAATTGAGCCATATTTTTTGGTGGTAGCAGTGAATACAGCGGTGTACATTCGAGGTCAGACAAAATCGCGTTAACATGATAAAGCGCCATATGAGATTTGGTACAAAAAGCAACCAAACATAGAGCAAATGCGACGAATTGGGTGTATAGCGTATTTAATAAGTAAAGGAGGACGTAGGAAGAAAATTGAAGTGAAGAACTCAAAAGACACATTTGTGGGATCAAACGAAGTTAATATATACGGGATGTACATACCAGAAAGAGAAAACATAAGGTGCGACAGTGACGTATGGTTTGATGAAGGAAGAAACGGGTCGGACTTGTTTCGATACAAGGAAGATGAAGATGAGAATAATGGAAACGTAATGCCTGTTAATTTTGATGTGGAGAAACATAAAGGCGTTAAAGGGGCTCCTCAAGAGAATTCTGAGGACGAAAGGCAATTAAGAACTGGAATGAGTGACGACGAATGTGCCTGTGACGAAGAAAGCAGCGATTATATGCATGTACAAGTATTGAACTTGACAACGATGAAGATACGAGGGTAGAGAGAAATAATGAGGATCAAGACATAACTATTAATCGAGTAGAACCGACAATCAGAGAAAGGGCTGGAAATCCGAAGAATGTGACGGAGGAAGCAATTATAGTAAAAGAATATCTGAGAAAACGTAAGCAAGGAAAATTGGATGAACAAAGTAACGTAAGAATGTTCTTAATGATTAGAAATCAAAGAGCAATGAGAAGTGTTGAAGGGAAAATTCCCACTACGATAACAGGGGCACGACAATCTCCAGAATGGGATCAATGGAGAGTAGCAATAAGGAGTGCAATGGAATCATTACTGAAACATCAATTTTGGCATGCTGTGGCGCGACGTAAGTATAAAAATGTGATTAAGTGTAAGTGGACGTTTAACATAAAAGAAAAATAAGAAACTTAGAAGGAGGATGCAAGGCATGATTAGTAGCATTTGGTTGTGCTCAAACACCTGGATTATGTTACGAAGAGACATTCTCACCGACAATTAGAGTGGAGACATTACGATAGTTATTCAGCATATGTGCAGAATATAAAAGAAGAATCGAGAATTATGACGTAAAAACAGCATTCTTGCATGGAGCTTTGGACAATGAATTGTACACGGAGATGACTGATGGCATTAGAAAGAAAGAGGGACATATCTGTAAACTAAAGGATAGTATCTATGACCTGAAAGAAGCGAGAAGGTGCTGGATTGAATATTTGACATGTACTTTGATACAGATTGGTTTAAAACAGTGTGTACATGGTCAATGTCAATTCCTTATAAGAGAAGGAAGTAATTTTCTATTCTGTGGCATACACGTGGACGATATGATCGTAGTCAGCAGTGAAGATCTATTTGAAGAGTAATATATTAATATATGTAGAAATCA